CGCAGTCCCTTCTCCATTCTCCTCTCGGGATCTTGGGCACAAACGCACACGCGCCTGGCGTGAGTTTAAGCCACTGGGTTCGGGATTCGAATCATGGTCAACTACATGGGAGTCCAGCAACATAGCTATTACGCCAACTGCTGGTCCCATAACTGCCTGTTTTGTGACTCCCCTGCCTCAGGCATGGGCAGGCAAACCTTTTCTGCAAAAGACCAGATAGTAAATATGGGAGGCTTGCAGGTCTTATAGTTTCTGTTGCAACTCTGCCTTTGTAGCCAGAAGGTAGCCCCAGAGCGTTCATAAACAGACAGGTGTGTTGTGTTTAAAACTGTTTTCGAAACTAGGCACTGGGCTAGATTTGACCTAAAGGCTGTAAAATATTGGGTTTCCTTCCTTTTATTATTATTATTATTATTATTTTTTGGAGAGATTTTCACTGTAGGGCGCGTGCTGCAATCCCTTCTCCTCCATTCTCCTCTCGGGATCTTGGGCACGCACGCACACGCGCCCGGCGTGAGTTTTAAGCCACCGGGTCTGGGACATGAACCGCAGTCGACTACGTGGGAGTCCAGTGACATAGCCATTACGCTAACTGCTGGTTCCCCCTTTTATTATTTTTTTACATTTACTATAGGGCATGAGGGTACAGGAGAAAGAGAAAGTGAGACAGCATCCCCCAGGGGGATGGTCATGCTACAATCCCTTCTCCATTCTCCTCTCAGGATTTTGGGCTCGTGTGCACGTGCTCAGTGTGTTTTTCAAGCCAATGGGTCTTAGGACTGGAGATGTGCAGTTGACCATGTGGAGTCCAGCTGCCTTAACCACCATGCCGGCTGTTGGACAGGACTTCTCTCACCACCTGCCATGCTTAGGCATTTCCCTGCCAGCAGTTGGTTTATATTTCAGGGAATGAATGGGAACAGTTTTAATAATAGCCTGGGGAAAACACCAGTAGAAATACACATGAAATATATGCTTTAGTAAGTGAAATTAGTTAATCATGTAATCCATTAATATGATCCTCTTAATTGGCGAGGATAACAGGGTAACAGGAGGCTTACTTATCCTCGCCTGGCATAAATGGTTCTGCAGTCCCACTTCCCGGGAAGCCACATGCTTCCACTGCAGCCAGCGGCACTGTAGGGGAAGGAACTGGCTGCTACCAGAGGAGCTGACCAGCTGGCCATAGACTGTCCAATGAACGGCTGTTTCCTCTCCCCCAGTTCAGCATTGAGGATCTCAGAGCACAGCCCAAGCAGACAACGTGCTGGGATGGAGTTCGCAACTATCAGGTGAGGGCGGAGAGCAGCATACCGAGAACCGGCCAGGAGAAATGCCCGCCTCGTCTTAACTTATTTAGCACTTGTTGGCTGAGATTGCCTTTTCCTGGAACCCAAACTGGAACTATATTCTAAAAGACCTTTAGTGCTCTATGTGAAATCTGTAAGTGCCCCACGTTCTGACCGGTGTGCTCACTCAAGTGTGAGTGTCTTGGCAAAGTGGACTTTCTTGGAAATTGGGAGGGAACTTGCAAGCGTAGAAAATCCCATCAGATAAAAGCAGACTTGAAGGGTGGCTGGGGGTATAGCAGTAGAACACGACCCTACAAAGCAGCCTGTGGCAAGGTGGCTGGTTCACATCCAGAGTATGCAGGATATGTGTGTACCCTGGTCCAGGCCGGCTGAGGCTGGGGAGGATCGTGGTGGCGAAGATAACGCTGGCTTCTTCTGTCCTGGGGACAGGCACGAAACTTCCTCAGAGCCATGAAGCTGGAGGAGGAAGCCTTCTTCTACCACAGCAACTGCAAAGAGCCAGGCATCGCGGGACTTATAAAAGTCAGTTGGACAGGTTTCAGTCTGAATCTCCTTCCCTCCAACCTCCCTCACTTAGCTTAAAGTGTTATAGCTTAAATAGGGTAGGAAAACCCCCACGTCCCCGCCCCAGGAACAGGAAAACTGCCCTGGTCCCTTCTATACGAGGACTAGAGTGAAGCATGCTTTCATTTCAGGTCCCACTAACCTAGGCTTCTCGCTGTCTCTACACTGTGACCCCCTCACTCAAAAACAAGCCTGAGGGCTGCTCCTCCAGACTAGGAGTTAACAGGATAAACTAACTAATTGCAGGTGGAAAAATAAAAGCAAAATGACATCAAACATACCCTTTACCATTTGGTTTCAAAGCCTGCTTCTACCACTTGTGTCGAAACAAGGTTACTTCCTAACTGTGTTTGCCTTAGACTTATTACAGATGTCTGAGCCCGCACTGGCTCCACGGCGAGGCAGATGGACTAAGAATGCAGGGCGAGGAATGAAAGACGCGGCTCACCCACTGGCCGTGGAGCCGCCGGTGCTGGGACATGACTGCACACCGGTTCTGCTTTCAGATTGTAAAGGAGGCGTATCCAGATCACACGCAGTTTGAGAAAAATGATCCCCATTATGACCCATCCAGTAAAAAGGACAACCCCAAATGGTCCATGGTAAGGACGACTATACCCATCTCATGAGCGGGAAAGCATGGATGAGGGGAGGAGGTTCTGGGGTACCTGGAGGTGCACGGTCCAGCTCCCACTTTGAGGGTTCACCGCCTTCGGAGGTGACAGCCCAGGCAGCCCTGCCCACAGGACCCTCGTGGTGGTGGTTGAAGATAACAGTGGCAGTGTCAGGCTCGACATGTCTTCCTGTCCTGTACACTGTTGTACGTAGGTGGACGTCCAGTTGGTTCGGATGATGAAGCGTTTCATCCCACTGGCCGAGCTCAAAACCTATCATCAAGCTCACAAAGCCAGCGGTGGCCCCTTAAAAAACATGGCTCTCTTCACTCGCCAGAGACTCTCCGTTCAGCCTGTGACTCAAGGTAAGAGCAGGCCCTTTCCCTCATACAGCAGGACTCAGTTCCCTTTTAGTAGCTCGTTAACGTGATGCAGGGCTTAACTTCCCTGGTCTGTCTGCCTGTAACACCCACGACAAAGGGACACGCCGAATCGGCCATTACCACAGCCAGCACCCGACAGCGCCTGGCGCCGGGCATGATGCTCCACTGACAGTCCTTGACCCGACGACCGCCTGCCTTGGTGACCCGTGAAGTCCCTAGTGTGCCTGGCCTAACTGCCCTGTTCAAGAGGAGACCTAAGACCTAAATCTTCCCCTCCCTCTTCCTCTTTTTGGTAGAAGAGTTTGATTTCATCCTGAGCCTGGAGGAAAAGGAGCCGAGCTAACCGAGGCGCTACTGCTGGGGTGCAGAGGGTGTTCCTCCGAAGGAGCTGGCATCTACAACGCCAAGGCGTGGAAAGGCTTGCTTGTTACACCCACCTGGCTTATGCACATAGCTGGGTTTATGTACTTTTTAAAATAAACATTCACATCAAAGTTGGAAGGTTTTCCTCCTAACACTGCACAGGGTGCCGCAGACGCTCCCGCTGTCCCCTGTTCTGGCCCCTGGCACACCCCAAGAGGCGTACTGCCGCCACCATGCCAGCAGCCCGGGTCGCTAGGGAGCGAGCAGCAGGGTGTGGGGCTGAGACTTCCGGTCTATTGACACATGTTGAATTGACTGGTTCCCTCCGCCCCCTGCCCCTGGTGCCATCAGGGCCCCACAGGTGTGAACCGTGAGCAGTTTCAGGCTAAACTGCCAGATGACACTGACTTCACTGCTCAGCCATGTCCTTGTCTCCAGCAGGTGGTTCATTACATACCTCTTCTTCAGGGACTCTGGTGGGTCAGGGGACAGGGTAAGACACAAGAGACCACAGGACCTGGTGACCATGGGCACAATGCCTCCAAGCCACGGGGCTTCCTTTAATCAGAGAGACCATGAAAACAAGTGTTCTTTTAAAATACAGCCACTGAGAAGACAGCACGTTGGAGACATGAGAACACGGCAGCTGCTGGAGTGCAGGTCGCACTGCTCGGCTCCGGACCTGTGCACTCCCGGGCAGGCGGCCTGCGGGCGACAGGAGCCTCCCCACTTCCACGGTTGGACAGAGACGTGGAGAACGGGAGAGGGAGGGAACAGAAAGCACATCCTACCTCCTAGTTCTCCCGGAAAGGTTTAAGATGTTAGGAAAGCTGGAAGTGGAGTCCGTTGGGAGGCAGAGGCAACGAGCGGTCTCTACCAAGTCAGAACCCAAGCCGTCTGTGGCAGCACCCAGAGCCTGACCCTGTGCTCTGGAAAAGGCAAGGGACACAGGCCCTGCCCCCCTTCTACACTGAGCCCACCTTGATGACCCAAGGGCAGCTGCATGGGTGACCCTGTTCCCATGGGGATTGTCTGTGCACCTGAACTTGGGCTCTGGGCAATGGGGGCTGGGTGGAGGAGACAGGACAGACACCTGACCTTCCTTGGCTCCGCTGCCCCCAGTCAACCTCACGTGTCTCTCCAAATGCCGTTCCTGCCTGTTTCAGCGCGGGCTCAGGAGCCCTGCCTGAAGGCCCAGGGCTCACAGAAGTCCCTGTTTTCCACATGAACTGGAAGATAACAGGGACTGACCACTGCTTTCCAAAGTCCCGAGAACCCAGACCTCCAGTGGGATCTGCTTGGTCTTTCTATAAAGAGAAGGGAAGCCCTTTCCAGATGAGGCAGAAACGGACAGTGAATACCTTCCCCACCAGACAGGAAATCCGCCCTCTTGACGTGGCCATGTCCACGTGAGTCATGTGTGTTTTTGAACCAAGAATACCAACGGTCCGAAGCTGGCCAGTCACCTGGGGAGGACAGCCATGAGGTCTGGCAAGCAGAGTATCCTGCCATGGCAGCAGTCCTGCTCAGCCCTCCTCCCTGCCACCCCTGTGACGGGTAGGCGAGGGGCTGAGGGGGCTGCAGCGAGACCTGGACTGCCGAGAGTTTACAACCAAACCCCAACTCCCAGAAACTAAATGGAGGCCAAGGAGTGATGAGGGCCCACTCAGAGGCTAAAGGCTCAAGGCCCCCCCGCCAGGCCTCTTGCTTCAGGCTTGCTGGGGTGCACAGAGCAATACCCTAGGACCCCAGACCTAGGGTTGCCTGGTGGGGCCACATGACAGCTGACAGTTGCCACACATCAGTCCTCGGCGGGCCTGGCTCGGCCTCCTGGGTTCCGCGCTGCTGCCATCCAGGCGTGACCCTGACCCCAGGCTTCTGTGCCTGGAATTCCACATGGGGTGGGGACAATCAGCCCAAGACCCTTCCGCAGGCTTCTGTTCAGAACGTCTCTGACAATGCAGAGGATGGAGAAGGGAGGTGCCTGGGTCCCGCAGAGAGGCCCGCAGGAAGGTGGTTAGTGGGGACTTCAGAGCACCACATCCGAGACCCAGCGAGGCAACTTCCTGGGAGACCCTGAGTCTTCCCCGGCCGCTCAGGGTGGGGCAGGCCCAGCTCCTGCCATCACCTCGGACAGTGGTGTATGAAATGTGACCACCAAGGGCCCCACAGGCAGCTCAGAATCCCTGTGACATGCTTAGAGCCAGAGGCTGAGGGTGCGTGCTCTTTGCTCCCCTTAGAAGACCTGGGGCAGCCCCTGGAAGAAGGCCTTGACTGAAGGCTCTTCCTCCGAGACCCCCCTCTCCCTATCCCCACATCAGCTGCAGAACCCCGAGGAGACTGCTCCCCAACCCAAGCCACTCAGGTTCTTCAGAGAAAAGAATTTAAGTCAAAAACATGATTTGTTTTCAGGTTGCAAGTCACGGGTTGCTGAGCCTCGCGCCCCTCCCGCTCCCCCTGCCGCTGGCGTGTGGCAGATGGGGTGCTGGGGCGCGGGCCGGCAGCTGCTTGGCCCCGAGGCCTACTGCCTGCTGTTGCCGTCAGACAGCTGGCTGGGGGTCCGCACCTCACCCAGGGACGTCGTGCCCTCGAAGCGCTGCGAGGCGATGGCTGCCTGGTGGGACATGCTCTTCCGGACGATGTCACCCTTCCGCCACAACACCACCTCCTGTGCAATCGGGACGGGGACGCAGGGTGGGTTCCCAGAGGCTCCCAAATCTGGGGACTCGGGCAAGAGCCCTCTCGCGCCAAAGGCAGCAGCTGCTGACACCTCCCCGTCCCTCGTGCAGCCCCAGGGCAGGGTGCTGGTAGGGTCTGGCCCCCAGGGAAGCAGGCTCTCGGTGTAAGTGGGGGCCCTCATCCTGGCTGGGGTTGGGGGCACGCTGATATCTCCACCTCCTGGCGAAACAAGTGGCACGGAGGCGTAGAGGCCCTGTCCCTGCACCGCCCTGGTGAGCCCGCCCAGTATGCTGTAGGCCTCTGGGGCAGCAGCGGGGGCAGCGGTGGCTCCCACCCTTCCCTAGTGAGCGCCTCACCTGCTGCTTGAAGTAGCGGCGCTCCTCCTCGTCTATCAGCACCAGGTTGAGGTAATAGCGGACAGAGAACTTCTTGTTGATGTCCCGCATGGTGGGCGTGAGCTCGTACCCCGCCAAGAACAGCCGGATGGGGATGGACTCTCCTGTGAGGGGCGAAGCAGGAATCAGAGCAAGGGGAAGAGCGAGCCCTCTGCCTTCGGCTGTCGCCCGCCCTTGTCCCCCTGTCCCCCTCGGCCACAGCAGGTGAGAAGCTGCCTACGCGGGGCGTGACTTCCACCTCGGGAAGCGGCCTCTGCTGCTGAAGCAGACACAAGCCCTAGTCCTAGCCCAGGCCTGGCTGCAGCTCTGAACGGCCTCTCCACTCCATCCAGAGGCAGCGAGGGCCAAGGGACACTCCAGCTTCGAGATGCTGTCAGGAAGCATCTTGGATTCCACGCGAGGGGTCTAGTTAGTGGGCTTTTAAGAGGCAGCTGACGAAGGTCAGCCGACTGCCGTGTGACAGCAGGTCTGGTGCTCCTCTCCGGATCAGCGAATGTCCCCAGTACCTCCCACTGCTACTCAGCATGAACTGGCAGGACAGGGCAGTGGCCTGGAGGACAGATGTCTCCTGGCCGGTGTCCCACTCAGCAGTTCTGTGACTTCCAGGTTACGGTGTGTGGGTAATTAGGGAGTCAGACTGCGTAAGGTTAGATCCCCCCAGCTCAAACATTGTGCCTCTCCTGGTCGGGGTAGAACAAAATTAGGGCAGTAATTCTGCCGAGAGGCCAAAGCTGTTGTGCCGCCTACAGTGAACTATGAACGATCTAATTATCTGCAGTTCCGTATTGATCCAGTGCCCAACTTCACTTGCCCAGCTGACAAGAAAGGGAGTACCCAGCCAGTCAGGAGAGCTCGCTCTCAGTCCCCCAAGGGCCTGGCACAGTGACACCTACAACTCTATGTCCCCGTGTTGCGGCTGCTAACTGTGACACTGCTCCTTCCACATGGAACACACCGAGTTAGGCCCTGGAAGCAGCAAGTACCTCGAGATGAAGACGGGTGTTCTCCCCCGTGGACCGCGACCGAGCCAGCGAAGGACGGGACGACTGCCACTCCCAAGTACCCACAGCTTCCCCCAGTGACACCACCTCTCAACTGCACTCATCCCGGAAGCAGTCGGCTCCGCGTCCCCCGGTCCCCAGAGTTGCCTGCGGCCCCTGGCAGTGCTGGCTGCGTGTCTAGTAGTGCTCTTTGGCACTTGACAAGGGAGGTCGGAGAGTGGCTCCTCTCCCGAGAGGACCAGGTGGGTAACACAGACTGCTCCACGGGGGTCTGCGGCCTGGCACAGACTCAGAGCGGCAGTGGGGAAAAGCATTCCAGCTGCGTCTGTCAGACCTGAACTTCTCCAGCCTGTCTTGTTGTTTAACAGGCCTGACTCGAGACTAAATCCCAAGTATGAGCCCCTTCTGTAGACGAGGTTCAAATGGAACCCTCCTGGTGACAATGAGGCAGGGCCTGAGGCCTCACCTTTGCCTGCCGGGCACCCACATGCACAGAGATGGAGAAGAAGGCTGTGGGTTAATGAGCCTCTTTTTCTTGGGCTTTGCCACAGGGTGCGTGCACTCACCAGAGACAGTGAGAGAGAGAGTGAGAAATCATGCCCCAGAGAGGATGGCCACACCACAGTCCCTTCTCCACTCTCCTTCTGGGGTTTCGGGTACACACACATGCTAAGCAGGATTTTCAAACTACCAGGTCCAGGACTTGAACTGCTGTCAGAGTGGACTGCCACGTGGGAGTCCAGTGTTGTAACCACCACATTAACAGGCCTCTCACGTGAACCGTGTGACCCCTCAGCCCCGCCGGCAGGCCCAGGACGGGGAGGGGCTGCGGCCCCAGAAGGCTCACCTCGCACGGGCGCCCCGTCCATGATCTCGTACTTGGCTATCGTGTCGTTCTCGTGGTACACGTTGGGGCCTGTGCCCGTCGTCTCCCGCTTAATGATGTCGATCTCCATGTGCTTGATTTTGATCCTCACCAGCAGGAAGTAGATCTTCCCTACAATGACATCTTTCAAGTGGTATCTGGGGGGAGAGGAAGAGGAGGAAGACAGTGCGGTGGCTGGCCCTTCTAGTTTGGTAGGAGGGCACTGCCAAGGCCGTGCATGCTGGCCTAAGGCCCAGGTGCAGGGCACACTCACCTACCTTCCCGCTCACACCAGGGGAGCCGTGCTCCTCGCACGTGAAGTGACTCCTACGCACTAGACTTGGCCCTGTCCCCACTGCTGAAGGATGGCCAGCTGAGCTTACAGGTGGCACTGCTGCCTCTCCCTTCACAAGGTGGAGGGGCATTAGCGGGCCGGTAATTTGGGTGGTTCCTTTCCAGGCAGGACCACACAGCCCTGAGACTGTGGAGAGTCTCAGGAAGGAGCAGCCTCCCTCCCAGTTTGCCCTCACCCCACCCACGGGGAGGCCAGGCCAGGCAGGGCTGGTCCTGGGCTGCACTGTCATTTTACTGACCCCACTGGGTTCCCGGCCAAATGGCAGAGGGACAAACACACCTTTTTCACCCCTGTTCCAGAAACCTAATGTCTTCCTCATTTGAAACAATTCTATTCCCAGCCCCTTCCAGGGTGAGCCACCTGCTCGGCCCCAGCCCCCCAGTCTCTGGGTGATGGTAGGTGTGGGGACACCCGGGGAGACCTAGTTGGAGACCGGCTTGCTGTTATGCTTTGGGAGTAGTCTACCCCATTTATTTAGACTACCCCATTTATTATGGGAACTATGACTTCCAACATTTTCAGGAACATATTATAGTCAAGAGGAAGATTTTGAAAACGGTTGGACTGTCCCAGAATTTTGTGATTTACAAGCAGTTACATTATTATTTATAATGATAGTGTCTACTCTTTAATTTTAATTTTTTGCTATAGAGTACACGTGCTCACCGGAGACACAGAGAGAGAGAAAGAGGGAAAGTAAGAAATCACCCTCCAAGGGGATAGCCACGCTGCAATCCCTTCTCCTCCATTCCCCTCTCGGGATTTTGGGCATGCACACACAGGTGTCTGGTGTGATTTTCAAGCCACCGGGTCTGGGACTTGAACTGCTCAGTTGGCCACATGGGACCCAGTTAATCTCCATGCCACCTGCTGGCCCAGCAGTTAATTCTAAGAGAAAACAGTTTAAAAGGTATGTAGTTTCCTGACTGGCCAGTTAAAACCAAGTGATTTGAGCGCTTTATCAAAAGGCCTCAGGTCTTCTCTGCTAACACCCATCTGCGTTCAGGGAGGAAGCAGCACACTATGGCCAGAATCCCCCGGCTTGGATTTCTAAAGATGTATGTGGTAACAGGGTGGGATTCTGAGGTTATTCTCACCAGCAGAGAAAATGGTGGACCTAGAATCCATTGCCGTAACTCTACAGTTTGCTCTGCTTGACTCTGAAAGGCACTGTATTGTAGGATGCTTCACCTGAATAGACCACCTTAAGTTAAGATAGCTTGTTTTAAGTAAAATGAAGCTGCAGCTGACCTCATACACTTTCGTAGTCTCCCCTTGGCATGTCACCCTGAGGCTATGGATCACAGGCTCCGCCCACATGCATCAAGTCCAGCCCCATCTGCACCTGCCTAGGGCCCAGGACACTCACTTGGATTTATTATACTCAAACTCGATGTGCAGACAGTCCTCGATCCCAACCTCCATCTTGATGGAGGAGTTCAGCTCTGGGTAGGTGCTGAGCGTGTGAACTACGATGTCCATCTCTTTGACCACGTCATTGAGGCGCCGGCTGATGGTGGCTCGCAGGAAGTAGCTGCAGGAGACGGAGCCCTCATGAGTGCGCGATCGCGGACTCCAGGTATGCCCGGGAGACAGGCACCAAACCAGCCCACTTGGGAAAGTCCCTTCCAATGATTCCTAACCTTCTGGGGCTTCATATCCCTTTGAGAAATTACAGATCCTCCTCCCAGGAAAAACTGCAAATAGGTACATATACAAATGAAATTTTCCAACTGCAACTCTAAAGGGTTCCAAGACACCTCCCTGAATCCCTTTCTGGAGCCTACCCTCAGTTAAGAATGCTGTTCTAGGGGCCAGCAGGTGTCGTGGTGGTTAAGGTGCTGGACTTCCACATGGCTGGTCACAGCTCAAGTCCCAAGCCTGGTTGGCTTTAAACTCATGCTGGGCATGTGTGCATGCATGACCCAAATCCCAGGATGAGAATGGAGGAGAGAGGATTGTGGCATGGCCATTCCCTCGAGGGGTAATTTCTCACTTTCTCTCTCACTGTCTCTCTCCATCTCTCTCACCCCTGAGAATGCATGTGTCCTATGGCAAAAAGCTTTTTTTATATAAAAAAAAAAAAAAAAAAGGAATGCTGTTCTAAGTAAAAGCAATTTCTCTGCTTGGTTCCCCAGTACCTGTTGGTCTTATTTTAGGTCTTTCAGGGCTCTTACCACTGCCTACCATGTATTGTGTACAGGTTTTATTGCTTTAACTAACTCTAGGCTCTGAGTGCAGGGATCCGTCTCCTACTCTCATATTTGCGTGCCTGTTTACTTAACAATATTCAGTAAATATGTATTTGTCAAGTCCTACACAGTTACACAAGAGGAACAGGGAATGGAGGAACCCAGTCGGCTACTCATTCAGCCAACCATGGAGTGAGTTAAGCGCTGTGCGAGGCACAGGATGAATCAGGTACAGCCCCACGGGAAGCCCGTGGTCCCCGGGGGACGATGGGTAGATAAACGTTAGACCACACGGAGAGTGCTCATTCCAGTGCCGCAACTGGCGTGTGTGTGCAGGGAGCAAAGCGCACGGGGAGGGAAGGTGCACGTGCGGCAGAGGCAGAGAGGCCCTGGTCTGTGTCCACAGCAGGGACGCCTCTGGCTGGACCTACGATCTTTGTAGGAAGTGGGGGTCACTGTGGAAGGGGACAAGTTAAAGACAGAGACACAGCTCCTGGAGGGGCCAGCACTCTCTCCCCCGCACGTTTCACCCAACAAAGGAGAAAACACCCCTTTAATTATATTTTTGTAAAATAGGGCTTAGCTACCCGTCGCCTGTCAGGCATTACTGGGGAACATCGTAAAGATGCTGCCCGATCGAGACACCTGGGGTCTGATCACAGCACTGACCGCTCCTGCTTCCCATCAATCTCTTTTTTCCATCTTGGTAACACCCATCACGTTGTCCAAGCCATCTGTCCCTAACCCTTTTCCCGTTGCTCAGGCTCCCAAGCCTCCCTGCTCCCTGACTGCGGAAATGCTGCTTTCTAGTCTACTGAGAAGACAGAGGCCGCTTTCCATCTTTCCCTCACCCCAGAGGCTCCAGTACTGGGCCCTATCTTCAGGGTTTCCAAAACAAGATCAGAAGAAACAGTCCACATTGTCACACTGTGTTTCATTTTATTTTCTCGTCATTCCCAAAAGATAGAGAGAGCATATCTAGAATTTGGACCCAAATCTATAGCCCGTTTTTCAAGTGTGAAAGCTTGAGTCCGGAGCTCCAGACCACCCTGCTGCATGGGGCAGGGCTGGGCAGTGGTCAGTACCTCCCGACACCCAGCCCACGGTGTGCTGAGTCCGGCTCACTTATGAAAGCTGCCCATGGGATTTTCAGGACCTTTGTGTACTGACTACTGAACACTGAACTTATTTACAGCTAAATTACATAAACTTAAAACTCAATAAATTCAGTTAAAAACAAAGGTAACGCATGCTGAAAACACATCACTTCCTGATTGTTTTCCTGCTTTCCCACGCTCTCTGCTCTCGAGCATGCCGGCCGTGTCTGGGTGTGATGGCAATGCTATGGAAAGATGGTTCTGCATATCTCCCGACTTCTGCAGGCAGGGGCATCGGGATGGGAGCTCGAAATTGGCCATGGTGGGAAAGCTGACACCACAGAAACGGACACGAGTTTTAAACCAGCAGGCTCTCCTCCCAGACAGCCTGCTGCTGAACAGACCAGCACACCTCCTTCTCACTGTCCACGTGGAGATCCAGCAGGGGGCGCAGCCACAGGGCCTCATCCACAGGGCAGGAGCAGGCTCAACTTACCGCAGCTTCACGTTCTGCCCCGTGTAGGACTCGTAGGGCTTCTCCACGTGGGTGAATTCAAAGTCGAAGGCCTGCGACTGCGTGATCTCCCCGGGTCGCGCCAGGTCCTTCACCAGCGACACGAACTCATGGTGGTTCCCGCGGTCGTAGTAGAGCTCTGGAGGGAGAGAGTTGCAAGCTGCCCTCCTCTGTCGCCCACAAGCTACGCAGGGCTGGGGCAGGGCACCCGTCTTCTGAAAGGCCTCCCCTAAAACACACCCCTTCGAGCCTTGCTTTTGCACTTGCCCTCTGACCCTGGACCCACTCCTTCCCTGCATTTCTCATACACTGGTCTCCCTTTCTCCTAGTTTCCAAAGACTCCCCCATTTTATACAGCGAAAGCCCAGGACACAGAAAGAACCCAATCCTAATGCCTCAGGACATTAGGACGGCATCCCAGAAAGGGACCTGTCAGGAGAACCAATCTCAGAAATAGCACATCTTTCAATAGCTTTTTCTTCTAACATTTCCGTTTGTTTGTTTATTTATTTATTTATTTATTTATTTATTGCCTTTTTTGTTGTTTGTTTTGAGAGATTTTTGCTATAGGGTGTGTGTACTCACCAGAGAGACAGAGAGACAGAAAGCAAGAAATCCCCCCTGGGAGGAGAGCCATGCCACCGTCCCTTCTCCCCTATTTTCCTCTCAGGATCTTGGGTGGGCATGTACACGCACTCAGTGTGTTTTTTTAAGTGGCCCTGTCTAGGACTCAAACTGCAGTCAGCAACATGGGGGTGCAGTGCCGCAAGCATCTGGCCCTTCCTTTTAACATTTCTAACTTTTGGAAGGCATGCATACATCTTTCAGCATGTCGTCCTCACGGTAATCCCGTGCAATAGCTACACAAGGCCTCAGAGCCACTTGGCCATAAAGAAACAGGCACAGCACGGTGGTGTGGCTAGCTCAGAGTCGCAGGACTGGCTGCAGCTGACACTGGAGCAGGACTCCTGCCACTGCCTCCGTTTCCACAAACCGGTAAGGAGCGGGTAACGGCCCGCCTCAGAAGGTTGTAAGGCGCAGAGGAGGTGGTGTCAGCACAGGACTGAGAAGGCACCGGTGGGCAGCAGGTCCTCAACAAGCAGAGCAGCTAGCTGCTGCCGCCCAGAAGGGAAGGCGTGCGGCAACGTGACATGGTGCTATCGGTGCTCCCTCCAGCTAAGCCAGCGGTTCTCCAACTTCCATGCACAGCGGAATCACCTGGGGGCTGGGTAAAACAGACTGCTGGGCCCCACCCTCGTGTTTTAATTCGGGGGGTCTGGAGTGGGGCCTGAGAATTCGCATTTCTAAGATGTTCTCAGGGGATGCCCTAAACCCACACTCCCCAGGAAACTCTGGGAAGTCTTTTCTTTTCTTTTCTTTTAATAGGGCACATCCACTCACCAGAGAGAGAGAGAGTGAGAGGTCACCCCCAGAGGGGCTGGCCATACTGCAATCTCTTCTCCACTCTCCTCTTGGGATTTTGGGCACACATGCACACGCGCCCGGCGTGATTCTCAAGCCACCAGGTCCAGGGCTTGAATCATGAAGCTGGCTGTGTGGGAGCCCAGTGCCCTCACCACCACACCACCTCCTGGCCCAGTTCTGGCATTTCCTTATGGTAAGGCCATGCACCTGTTTGCCCCGCATTCATTTCTGTCCGTGTATTCTATGTGAGCATTCAGCTTGGCTGTGTACATGGTCTCTCTCCTCCCAATTCAGACTGAAGGCTTTCTAGAAATAAGACCCAGATCCCAGCTTCCTGGGAGTTCCTAGTACCTGGCCCTGCAGAGGTGAATACCTGGTGTCGGCTGTGACATACGGACCACATTGGTGACAGCCAGCACGGCTGAGGTATTTCTGGGCTCAGGTCCTAGGCTCAGTGGGAACCCGCAGAGCAGAACGGGGAGAACAGCACAGTGCCATGGCAGCTCTTGTGGTTTCTGCTTGGGGGTGAGGAGGTGGGTCCAGACAGGAGTCTCTGGGACAACCGCCCACTAGGCCTGGTCCTCAGCCTCTCCAGGGCACGGGAGCTGTCCCCCTTTCAGGGATACTCGGAGTGTTACAGGCAGCAAGGGAGATGCTCTGGTCCACCCCACAGAGCATGGGATCTGAGTCCCGGTTAGGATCAAAGGCTTCTTGGGCCTGAGAAACCAGCCCTCTGGCCCCCCAGAGCCAATAGCATAGACCAGGCACGAGGAGAACAATCAATCCCAGGTAGGACAAAATGGTGCTGTGCTTTTCACGGGGACCTAGGTGCTGGCCCTGTCAGAGCTATTCCTGGAGAAGCCTTTCCCTGAAGTGGAGTGGGCCCAGCTCGTGTGGTGGCAGTGGCGTGGATGATCCCAGCAGCGGCAACGCCACTTCCCCGTGTGTCAACAACGGGCTCTCTGGCTGTGATCTGCGGCTGGTCACCAACGTGGCTGTCCTTCGGATGATCTCACTACAAGCGACCGACCTCGTCCAAACCCTCCATGGCTCCAGTGTGGGCAGCAGGCCGGGGCATGAACAATGGTCCACGAAGCCACTAAATAGGACACGAGGGTTCCAAACCAAGGCGGGAGGGCCAGCCCATGGCCTGGTGGTTGAGGCAGATGACTGAGCATGAAGTTCGAATCTCTGCCCTGGTGGCTTGAGAAACATACTGGGCACATGTGCATGTATGCCCCAAACCCTGGCAGGATGGAGACATTGAAGAGAAGTATTGCAGCATGACCATGGCCCATTGGGGGCGGGAGGGGTGATTTCTCCCTCCCTCTCTCTCTGTCTGTCTCTCTCTCTCTGGCAAGCACATGTACCCTCTGGCAAATTAAAAACAAAACAACAAGAAATCAAGGCAAGAAAGCCAGAGAAGCAGTGGCTAACAGGAGGCGAGGAGCCGCCAGAGGCAGAGTATGGCCTGCCGGGGGAACAGGGCTCATCTCCTGATGCAGGGAGCCCTGGCTGATGGGGCTGGCTCCCATGGGGGAACTGAATCTTCACTTGGGGAACCTGGTGCCTCTGCCCCCAAACCCTGGACTCTGGCCTTAGTGTTAGGAGACAGACCTAAGCAGAGCAAGGCTCCACTGTGCACAAACTGAGGGAGAAGTCCTAGCGTTAAGGAGAGATGGAAAAATATACAAATGTGCACAGCCTGCACAGCCCTAGAGGCAACACGAGAAATAAACAAAACAGAAGCTCAGAGCGCTTGGCTGCCCGCGTTGGAGGATCCTAGCAACAGGACAGGGGCATGCTGCCCGCCCGGAGGATCTTAGCAACAGGGCAGGGGCATGCTGTCCGCCCCATGGATCCTAGCAACGGGGCAGGGGCATGCTGCTGCCCTGCAGATCCTAGCAACGGGGCAGGGGCATGCTGCCACCCAGCCAACCTTCCCTGCAGGCATCACATCCTCCCTGGTGCTGTTCTCCAGACGTGTTCCTATCAGCTCCTACATCAAATGCCACGGAGGACGGCCAGCACGTGGTCTGAGCGGGGCTGGGCTGGCCTTTCTTGACCTCTCATTATAAGACTCTGGGAGTGCTCCTGCAAACACTGGGCAAGGGGCAGACATGGCCACACTTTGCTATTTGCCAGAAAGTTTGGCATAAATTAAAATAGAAAACCCAAGGCTGTTCTCACAAGAGGTTTAGGCCTTAGAGAGACTGTAAACTGCCTCTCTGCCAACCCAAAGAAGCCACAAGTCAGCCCTAATTACTCCCAGTTATGAGAGCCCTTGGACACCGGACACTGCAGGCAACAGGTATGAGCTGACCACGTGTTTTGTTAAGATCACTGCTGTTGAAATAAAAGGAAAAAAAAAAAACCAGGGCTGGCCAGTGACATGGAGGTTAAGGCAGCTGGATCCCACATGGCCTACAGCAGCTTGAAAAACGCTGTGAGTGTGTGCATGTGTGCCCAAAACCCTAAAGGGGAATGGAGAAGGGATCGAGGCACAGGCTGAGCCTCCCACCTTAGAGGTCCTTTCTCACTTTCTCTCTTTCTGATGAGTACATATGCCCCACAGCACAATTTTTTAAATAAATAAGTAAAATTAAAAAAACAATAGTACTATGGGGGCCAGCAGGTGGCATGGTAGTTAAGGTGCTAGACTTCTACGTGGCCAACCACAGTGCGAGTCCCAGACCCAGGGGCATGAGAATCGTGCCGGGTGGATGTGCACGTGTGTCCTAAATCCAAAGAGGAGAATGGAGAAGGGATTGCAGCATGGCCACTCCCACAGAGGGGCCTTCTCAGTCTCCCTCGGGTGAGCACACACATCCTAATGGCAAAAAAACAAAAATAAACAGATATAGTAAAAGTAGTATCACTGCTGCCTTTAGTTTTTTCCTCAACCCAACAAGAGGAAATAACTTTTGTACTCGGGATTTTCCTGGTGAAACGCGTCACCAACAGTTGAGAAGCGAATTTGCCCCTTTGGAGGAAACGGGGCCGTTGCTGTCCCGTAGATCACTCTGCGGCAGACACCCTGCGCGTCGCTGCTGTGCCAGGGCTACGCTTCGTCCAGGCTTCATGCAGGTCTTGGAGGAAACACCAGTCAGCAGTAGCAAAAGTCCCTCCAAGACCCTCTTCTTCACCTGCCTCTCCCAGGCCACCTGCTGGAGCAACCTGGTCAGGATTCCGACCTGCCACCCCTACCCTCATCTCCTGGCCCTGCCAAACCTGCAGGACCACCAACCCCTACAGGCCGTGCATTCCCCGCCAGGTGCAGCGCTGCTCTGAACCCCACGTGCAACTTACTGGTACGCCAGAATCAATCCACTTCATTCATATTTCAAGGGTTGAAAAATGGAAATACAGAAAGCCTCTGGAGTTTTAAAAAGCACAGGCTTGGCTGACACCTAATGGGATCATTAACAACTTAAAAATAAAAAAGGGAGAATCCCAATAATACGTGCTTGCCTTGTGGCACAGAGGTGTCTGCGACTGCACCCCTCCCTCTCCCCCCACCGGTCTGACCTTCGAATTATGCCTGGCTCCTTTAACTCCATGAGTCTCCCTGGGGCCCAGGCCTGTCTGACCTCTTCCACCAGTGAGCCCAAAGGACTCAGGCTGAACGGAGAGTCTCCTGTTCTACCGCACAGTCCTCCCCTCAGGGCTCTTCCTCTGCTGTTGCATCTTTCTGGAAGTGTAGGCCCTTACCTG